CGCATCGTTTGCTGCCCCCCCCCCCCCTCCCCCCCTCACGGAGAGGAGCCGCGGTGAGGCGGCGGGATTCGCCCACAATGCACCGCGCCGACGGCAGCCCTGACATCACCCGCGGGCCGCCCCCGCCGCCACGGCACCGCCCCGGGACCGCCCCGAGCCACCGCCACCGCCACCGGCACCGGCAGCGGCAGCGGAGCCCTCATCCCGCAGCCCAAAGCGGAGCTGGACTCCCCGCCCCACCTCACGCCGCCCTCATGTGTCCCATAAGCACGCTCCTCCAAAATCCCCACACATTTCCAAAATCCTCACACTTCCAAAATCCTCACACACTTCCAAAATCCCCACACATTTCCAAAATCCTCACACGCCTCCAAAATCAGCCCCCCGCAGCCCAGGCTGTGGTGCTCCCCGTGTAGGACATGGCTCCCAGCCATGATCTCCCCCCTCCCGGAGCAGCGCACCGGGGCTGAGAGGGCCCCAGCTCTCTCTCTGATCCTTTTGGGTGGCCTCCAGGCCCCCTTTTTAATACCCAACCTGCTGCTGTGGATATTTTTGGCACCCCGCTCTCCCAGGCTGCCTTCTACACACGTCTGAGGGCCTCACGGAGCTTTCCCCATGGAGGGATGCACCTCAGGGAGAAACTCATGGCCAGACACATTCAGCTCTTTCTACCTGCATGTCCAGCTGCCAGCAGCCTTTTCTATACGGAAAACGAGCCCACAAGGCCGAGGGCAGGGTCCTCACAGCCCAGCAGGAGGAAGCTGGTGGGGCACCAAGCACAAACCCAGCAGGATTGTTTTGGAGGAGCCTGTCATGGTCCTGGGTGCACTAAGAAGCCTTAATGGCTCCTACCAGCCTCACCAGGACCTCCCTGCCCACGGGCCTGTGAGCCCTGTTAGAGATCAGTCTTCAGTCCCTGCCTGAGCAATGCTGTGCTGGTCTGCACATGGATCCTGACTTGCGGATGGGCTTCCTAACTTGAGCTTGGCCCCATCTTGTCAGTATGGGCCTGCCAAAAGCCACAGGAAAATGCCTGACCCAGGCTACCATCACTGGACCTGATCCTCATCTGTAGAGTGACTTTCTGGCTCCACCTCACACCTGCTTCATCACTACAAACTTGACTGATGATTTGGGCTCCTGGTTGGGCTTGGCAACCATCGCTGCATCCACCTTCCTGGGTACTTGGCCCTGGCTGCGGAAGGCCTTGCTGGCAGGGCTAACTTACCAAAATTAGAGCAGGGTCCTGTCCAGGCCAGTCTGGAAGATCTCCAAGGATGGAGAGACCAGCAGGTCCCTCCCCTGGAGAAGTTTTCCCATGCTCAGTCAGAATTATATTGTAATTTGTGTATCTGGCCTTCATTGAAAGGATGGAGAACACAATATTACTTGATGAGCTGAAGTGGAAATCAAGCGAGAGCTGGAAGCATCCTACTTTTCTCAGTCTTTTTCCCCAGACAACTGTTGGCTCATGAGCGTGCCTCTGTCACATCAACACCAAGCCCAGAGCATCACTACCAAGCTGGAGGGGACAGAAAAATTTGGTGCTGAAGCCTTCTGTCCCTACTTATGGTGGGCGGCCCCAAGAGGAGGCTGGCATGATGGAGAGGTTTATCAACAAGGAGTTTCAGGTACAAAGCACACAGCAATACCAGTGCGTACGTGGCTCTGTAGTTTTGCCTGTTTTTGCCTTTTCCTACCTTTCTTTGTGGGGTCAGGTATCAGTTGTGTGCACACTAGGTGGGAAGACCATTGAAAAACATGGTTAGGAGTAGAACAGTTATAACAAATTCATGGATTTCATTATCTTCTTACTCTCAGTTTTAGGATATTAAAGGAAAAATGGGGACAAGCAATTGGGAAACATAACACAGGTCAAATACCTGCTTTGTAGCAGGGAAAAAGGGATGGAAAAAGACTGAGCAGAGTTTTTCTCATCAGCCCTTTGCAAGTCAAGACTGCATGTCTGAAGCCCAGTCTCAAAATTGTAGTTCCCAAGAGTAATATGGTTGTGTTGTGTTGTGTTGTGTTGGTTGGGGTGGGCTGCAGGCCAGCCTTCTTCCTCAGCTGCCCTGCAATAAAAAAGGCTTCCCACAAGAGGATTGCATTTGGAGCTTCCTAAAACTCTGTGCTATGACAGAATTGGGTATTTGATACAGGAATGCAGAGCAAATCTGTCAGAGGGTGTCAGTGTGTGTGTCCATGGGATAGCTGTGCCCAGGAGTGGGGCACAAACAGAAATCCCCTGATATGCCTGATCTCCCAGGTTGCACAAGCCTGTGCAAGAGGTGGTTTGTGGGGTAAATGCAGAAGGAACCCATGGAGAGGTGGCATGGAGGCTGGAGCCGGGATAAGCCTCCTTGGTGGAGTCCCAGAGCTGCTGAGACTGAAGGCTGAGGCTTCAAACCATCGCCAGCAGGTCACTGATGGACGCAGAGAAGCCTGACTGCCTTTCTAGGATGCCAAATGCTACTTAACCCAGCAGGGATGAAAATCCTGTGCTTGAGTGCTTCCAGTTGAAGGTCGTGATCCTGCAAATACCCCTGCCTGTGTTTAGCTTTATGCTGGCACCCTGAGGATAGGATGCTTGCACGCTGCATTGAGCAAGTCTTGTATTTATTGGCAGGAATCAAAGATGAGGCCAATAAATGACATTGTTGGATGTTTTGGTAGTCGGAATAGGAGAGGATTGGTGGATGCTGATTTTTTGTTTATTTATTTTTGGTGTGTGTTCATTTGTTTGTTTTTGTTTTTGCTACAGCTCTGATTAACAGATACCCATAGCCAAACTCACCCAATACTCACACCGCTACTGGCTTGGTTCCTCAGTACTTGCCATGATGTCAGCATAAAAGACACTTGATTTTAGCAGCCAAGGGCTGCTAAAATCTCATGTTCAGTGAGGGTGCCTGGCAGGAGCAGGAGGCTGTCTCAGGAATCTTGGCTGACACCAGGGAACGAATCCCTCTGCAGTGGTGGCCACAAGCCTTTGGGAGCTGCCTTTAAGAGGTTCATGGATCACAGTAAGTGGACGTCCCCAGAGCTGCTAACACCAGCATCACTGTTGGGACTTCATAATGCCAGGAGGGGCTTCTGAATGGAGAAATGCAATTCCGTAACTGCTTTTACCTAGCTCCAGCCTTTCCTGGCATACTCAAGCACTGTACTTAATGAGAATTGCTGTAACCCTCATTTGCTTTTGAAAGTAAGCAGTCTGCTGTCAGCCTTCATCACCAGAAAGTCAGGGACAGGGAGGCATTAACAAAACCTCATCTCCCCTCTGCCCAGCTCTCTTCGAAGCAAGAATTTAGGGTTGTCCTTGTCCTGCCAAGCAGCCCAGCTGAGCTGGGAGATCAGGTGCTCTGCAGGCTGGATTGTGCCCGAGTTGTGCTGATGGTGGTCACGGCTTTCTTTGAGGAAAAAGACAGCCAAAACCTGAGGATGGAGGGTTGCCTGGTGAAGCATGAAAAAAAAAAAAAAAAAAACACTTCATGTTGGAAGAGGAAAATCAGTCTTATATGAAAGAAAATCAGAGAATGGCAGCATTCCCAGAAGATTTCAAGGTCTGCAGCAGCCTAGGCAAATTAAACAGCTAGGTTTTCAGGCCAAAGAATTTAATTTCATGCTCTGTTTTTTTGGACAACACTTCCCCCCATTTCTATCTGCTGTTTTGTGTGTGTGTGTGTGTGAAAAGCTTTCATCTGAAATACTGGTTTATTTATTTATTTATTGCCTATAAGCAATTTTGATGGAAAACTTTTGAGCTACCCTAAGCAAACCAACCGAAAGCAAAACAAGTCCCCATACTCCCATCTGGCACAAGGTGGCACACACGCTATTGGTTACAACTCAGCACTTACCCAAAAAGAAATATTGGTGTTGAGAAGACAAGGAAGGGATACATAATTGCATTAGCAGTGTGACAATGCCAACTTTACAAGGAAGTTAAGGGTGTATTTAATCTTATGTGTTACCTATAAAACACAGCTGGAAACCTCAGAAGTGCCAGAAATCTGAGTCCTGATAAGGTCTCTACTATTTACCTAGATAAAATGTCTGGTGATATTCCTAGGAAATCCAGAGAAAACACTACCTTGTTGCTACCACTGCCAGAACAAGCTTGAGCTTAGCACAAAGAATAGGTTAAAGTCGCTATTCTTGAACATGAAATGTGCTTTGTCTGCCCAAATTCTGGGAGTTCATTGAGGAAACACTCGATAGTTTGGCACTTCTTAAGGAATCCCAGACCTTGCTACGAGCTTTCCAACTATGTGCTGGGAGGCAGGGCTAGACTGCCTAAGAGAATTACTGCACAGCAAAGAGGGCAGCGTTATGTGCAAAGAAGAAGGTCGGCGTTATCTGCTGCAAAATCTCAGCGCTCATTTTTGCGGGTCGGGGTTGAATCGTGTCTCTCAGCCCCCCTGGTGCTGCGACTGAGGGGAGGTGGAGGAGCACCGTGATACCAAAGCTGGGAGCTCCACGTTGTGGTTATAACGATGCTCGCAGAAAAAGAAAAGCCAGGAAAAAGAGGATGGAGACCTACCCTGTTCAAAGCTGTGAAAGCGATAAGGGGGCAGTGGTAGGACTCATGTCTGCGTGTGGGTTCAGAGAGGGTTCCCAGGGCTGTGCGGACACGGGGGTGCATTGGGGTGGGCATCTCTTAGGGGGGTTTCTCCAGAGCTGTGCGGTTTGTGGGGACTTATGTGTGTGCTATGTGTGTCCCCGAGGCTGTGAGGGTGTCAGGGTGTCTGCCTGGCTTCAGGAGGGTTCCTAAATCAAGGCCCTGCACCTGGGGAGGAACAGACCCACACTCCAGTCCGTGCTGGGGCCTGACTGGAAACACTGGGTGTTGTTGCCACCAAGCTGACCACGAGCTGACAACAGAGGCTGAGGACACCCAGCGCTGCCTCACGAGGGGCTCACCCTCCCCTGCGCTCACCCCCAGCCAGGAGCTGCCCCCCTCAGCCACCCCACAGCTCCCGGCCCTCCCCGTGCGGGCGGTGTCTCCCGAAGCCATGGGGGTGTTCCCGGGGCGGTGCCGGGGTTGGGACCGACACCCGGAGGGCCCCGAGGACGGCGGCGGAGCAGGGCCGTGCCCCATGGCGCTGGCTCTGCGCTGCCTCAGCCGCCGGCTCCGGCTCCCGCTCCCGCTCCCTGCCCGGCGCCGCTGCGGGGGCGGCCCCGCTCAGCTCCCCCCCGGCGGCTACGGGGCATGGCAGGAGCGGGCTGCCCGCGACCCCGCTGCTTTTTGGGCCGAAGCTGCTCGGGGCTGGCTGCGCTGGGACAGCCCCTTCCACACCGCCTGCGAGGCCGGCTGGGATGGAGCCGGAGCCCGCTGGTTCCTCGGTGGCCGCCTCAACGTCTCCGGTAAGGCTGCCCCCCCCCTGCCCCGGGGCTGTGCCCGTGGTGATGCTGTGCCCGCAGCTGCTGGGGGCTGGGTGCTGGTGGGGATCCGAAGCTCTTCAGCAGTCGAGTTTCGAGTTTCGGCAGGACCTGTTGCTTGAAGGGAGCCGGAGCCCGGTCCCTGCTCCTTGCTGTGGCTGTCCTGCCTGCCCTCAGGTTTATTTCGGGCTGTATCAGCCTTGTCGGCTCCTTCCATACCATGGGCAGGCTCCATCCAGTGAGACTAAGCCCCAGCCCTACCTAGGGCATAACTCGGTGCTGAGGTCTTCTAATAGGGACGTATATTTTCGTATAAAGCCACCTTGCTTTAGCACAAAAGAGCAAACCCTCCCCTGGGCTTCCCAAAACACACGGGAGGATTCCCAGCTGTGGAGTTCCCAAGGGAACAGAGCTGTTTGTACAGCCCTGCTTCCAGCACACAGACTTCAGCCAAACTCTTGTTTTCAGTGTTTTCCATTGAAAGGAAGATCCTGGCTGAGCAAAGGGTTGGTTGGGATCCATTATTTCATTTGTATAGCAGAATCAGCACCTCTTTCTTAATCCCATGTGGGTCAGGTAAAATCCAGGTGCTTCTGGGTCTGATTTTACACCGTGTCTTGCATCTGGCTCTTCTGCAGACACTGAATGCCACTTATGTTTTCTCTGCATAGCTTGAAAAAAAAACAAGTCACAGACCACTGAAACACAGCTGCAGAGAATTAAATGGTTTTGCTGGGGCTGTTTTCCTTCTTTTAAAGCATGATGGAGATGAATAGCATGGTACTCAGCCACCGAGTGGCTGGTTTTCTGCTAAGAGGCTCGAGTTTTGTCCCTTGATCTCTTGATTGGAACAGTGGATAAGAAAGCACACAGCAGCTCAGATCTCTGATTCGGAACAGGCTTTTTGCCTGGGGGAGACCTTGCAGAGGCATGAGGTTCAGCGCTTGGGGGTTTATCTCATTGTGACTCTTTTCCAGGAAAAGACCCCAAGGAGCTACTATACCTGCAAGGCACCGCATCCTCAGGAGCGTGTCTTGTTGAATCGTTTCTGCGTGCTTTTCCAAGCCTCATCGAGGAGGCAAGAAAACAGACGGAGAAACCATTAGGGTGTAGCGGTAGGGGGCAGGTCACCAAGTTCTATTTTGTGAAATAAGAGAAAGGCACTTGCAATGTCAGGAAGGAAATAACAGCGTTTGGCCCCGATTCACTGGTCAGTTCTTACCGGGCAAAGAACAGAAACTCTCACTGGGCTCGCTGTAACAGAAATACCCACTGAAATCTGGTTATGAGAAGGGAATGCTGCTTGGGAAATGAATTTCTGTGAATGTGGTTTACTGTAATGTGGAGCAATACGTAAGGGTATTGCTGCAATGAGCTCGGAGGTAGGAGTTGGTAAGGGTCCCAGAACAAACCACAACAGATCTGATTACATATGGATGGACGACAGAGGAAACCAGTGTATGCTTAAAGCATTCCTCCTCAGAGCTTTTGTCCTCCTGTATTGTGTTAAGAAATGAAGAAATTTTATCTCCTTTATTTTTTATTTTTTTTTTAGTATTACTGCAGGAATTTACATTCAAAAGTAAAAGACTTAAAACACCTGAAGGGCTTTTTTTTTTCGTAGTTTTGAGATAGAGAGTTGTTCTTGTAGTGAAACATGCTGAATTCTGAGGTTATTTTATCTCCTGCTCATCTTCAGAGGCTCATTTCCACCTTACTTGTAGTGCTGTAAATCAGCTTTGATCATAGAACAGCAGAAGCAGGCTCCAGGGCTGCAGTTCACTTAACCTTCACAAGTTTTGACAGAACAATAGGCAGCTTTCATTGCACCTAATTTATCTGGAAAAATAAAATCCTTCCTCACCAGTATTAATATCTCTAGGAAATGTGATCTGAAACTCAGCATTTATTTCTTTTTCAGGGTTATCTCTGAGTTGTACAGCAGTGAGCCTGACTGGTTTTTAATAATTGTCTACTGAAATATCGTAACTGCCTTTACAAGCATATAATGAAGTATGAAACTGTAGTTTAGGCTTGGAATTAAAAATTTACAAGGCTAATCTTTAATCATCAGACAAGTAGCTGCCGAACATGTGGGCAGGTTTCTTGAGTGGATTCTTTAGAAGTTTTTTTAAGGTGGGTACTCTCTGTCCCTTCACTCAAACTTCACCTCACATAGTTGTCCAGGTCCCTTTTACATGGGGAAATGGACCTTCAAAAGCGAATTTGCCCTTCATATTTTAGGAGTTGTAGCACACAGTTTGAGATGTGTTCATCTTTCCCAGCTGTCTAGTAATATATAGATACATGTCTCTACTGTGTGTGTTTACACTAGATCCTAAAGTTTGAGATTATTTTCAGTAAGTGGAGATTCAGCCCTTCCAATTATACCTTGGAATAAAAATGCTTTGCGTGAGCTGTAATTAGAAAATCCAAATGATGCAGTGCTAAAAATGCAAGCTGGGGAAGGCAAGTCTGTCAGATTTACGTGGTAAAACGCTGCTCTGGTGAGGAAAAGCATCAGAAGAGTGTCCTCCTTGTCTTTGCGCTGGCGGGAGCAGGGGAGAGATTTTTGGCTGGTTTAAGCACAGCTCCTCTGAGTGCCACTGAGCTGAACAGAATCAGGCAAGGCCTCTTGTGGAGATGTCATCTCTAAGGCAGCTGTACCAATTCAGTATGGTATTTGTACACAACAAATATGGCAAAGACAACTTTCCTACTACTACAATGCTGTCGGTGTAAAGGATGACTTCCCAGCGTTTGAAATGAGCGGGCAGCTAGCTAGGTGGCCGATGAAATTTCAACTTAAGTCTACCTGCTGATATGCTTGACTGAGCTGGGTTTACAGAACTCTTTGTGTGTTATTAGGCTTTGATTAAACTTCTGCTTTCTTACAGTAAATTGCTTGGATCAACATGTCGAAAAGTCTCCGGACAGAGTGGCTTTGATTTGGGAGAGAGACGAGCCGGGAACTGCAGTGCACGTCACGTACAGGTACGGCACCTTCTCTTCGTACAATGCCTGGAGTTGTGGTGGGACTGGGAGATGAGTTGCTTCTCTGAACTCAGACCTTTGTGAAACTCTCCATTCTTCCAAGGTACCCCAGCACACAGGGCATGCAGCTACAGCTTGTGGCATTGTGATGAGGTATCTGCTGAAAAATGAAGTCTTGTTCCAACTTAGAAATGATATTCTTCCCTTGGCTTCTTCATGAGGGCTTCCTGATCTTAGATGCCTATCTAATAAACGTTCTACACAGTCAGAAGTACAGTGGATGCAAATTAGTGGTAATTACTGAGAATTTCAGATTCAGATCTGCCATCATCTGGTTTTGGTGTTAATCAGGCTTGCTTGTGGTTTCCCTGTCTCTAAGTGGGTGGTTTTAGAACAGAAAGATTTTTTTTTTTTCTCACTGGCTTATGTCTCATCTGCCAGTTTTCTTTCTGAAGTTTCTGTGGCAATAGTTCGGGGAGCAGCTTTCAGTTTCAGAACAGCAGCAAGTGTGTTGGTGCAAACAACGTCCTGTGTTGTTAGTCAACAGCATGATACGGAGTCTTTGCTAGAGGGGGTTTCAAGTTCCCTGTATTGTTCTTCCCCTTCCCCAGTGCAGTTTAGAGCAATCTTGAGGCTGCTCTGAGAGATACCAACTTGTAATTGCTGCTATAGGTAGTAGGGTTTGTTAGAAATGGCAGACTTCAAACATGTTTCTCTTCTTGCTGTGTGCCCTTGCTTAAGAGACAGGTCTGCCTGCAAAAATGCCTTTTACCTCATGTCTCCCTAGTAAGAATTAAAGGTTTCCCACACTTGTGTGTTCCATGTTGGCTGTTTCAGGGAGCTAAAAGTACGTTGTACAAGAAAGCATAGGAGATATAGGTAGTCCAGCTGATATAGGTAGTCCTGGCATCTGACTCTTTTACAAGATGTTTTCTGCAACATGTTGATAGTTGGGATTTGCAGAACTTTTTGACTATAAATAGGTTCCAGTTGTCTTGTCTTGTTCACCTTTGGCATTTATCAAAGCTCCTAAAAACGTAATGTATTGGAGTGAAGAAGGTGGTCAGCAGGGAGAAATGAGTGTGCAAATAGCTTTGAGAGGTTAGTGCACCATACAGCATGCTGTAACCAACTAGGCAGCTTTGCTAAACCTTTGAATTTTGTCCTTTTCATTCTGGTGGTATAAAGGTAAACGGAATCCAGGGTTTCTTCCAGAGTTTGGGGTGGTATATGGACTTCTACCTCTCTCTTTATGTCACAGGTGTGGAAATGGGGTACGTTGGAGGTTGGAATTGGGTGACGTGTTTTGATTAACCTAAGAAGAGCAGCCCATTCCATGGCACAGCCTCATTGAAGGCAACTCTAGCCTCTCCCTTAGGCTGTGCTACATGAAATGTGCTGAGCTGCTGTGGCATCTCCAGCCGTCTTCTCAGGATCTGCAGAGGAATGAGAAGTCTTTTCTGAGCAGCAACAGAACTGTTTTTCTCTTGGCCTGTGGCATGATGTAGAGCTCAGTGATATGGTTTAGTGGAGGACTGGTTAGTGTTCGGTCTGAGGTTGGACTTGGGGATCTTGGAGGTCTCTTCCAACCTAGATGATTCTGTGATTCTATGCCAAAAATGTATTTGGAGAAAAGTATGTTTTCAGCCTGTGGATTTGTCATTGCAGTGTCTTGAAGACTAATAACCCACATCTGAAAAATGATTCCATCTTTGTGCAGCCTTACAAAGATACAATAACAAGGAACCAGGAAGAAGAACATTCAGGTGAAAGACAAGTTGGCAATCTCTATTTTTCAGTCTTCTGCTTGTATTTGAGAGCCATGTTCTTGTTTCTTCTTTATACTTTTGGTGAGACGCGGCTGCGTTCCGGTGATGGAGTTTTTCAGGAGATGTTGGTCCTACCAAGTGGGTAAAACAGGTTGCTTGATTTTTCTGCTCATCCTGTTATTGTCAGGAATAGCTGCGTTGACAGCGGTGGTATATGCAGGGAGAGAATCAAAAGTTTAGCCTTGAAATAACAGCCTTTTCTTTGAGCTGCATTTTCAAAGGCTTTATGTATGGCAGCAAGGTTTTTCAAGGCATGTTGGCATTGATGTCCCCTTGAGGCTATGTCTAGTTGAAAGATTTTTGCAGTAACATTTTGGTTTAGGCAGAAATTTTGTGAGGGAAAGTGAATCAGAAAAGGAGGTGGCACTGTGATGCCTATTCAGTAATCCTCAGTGTGGCAGTTTGACCTCTGCATGTTGTCCTCAGCACAGGACAGGCCCAGCATGAGAAGATGAAAGGGATATTAGGTATCAGTACCTGAATGCTGGTACCTGTGGCAGAGAAATGCCTTTTTCTTAGGATTTGGAGGCACTGTTAATGGGATTGCATCCTTACAGTCCTGCACTAGGAACGTAAAGACTTTAATTTGGCCACTGCCTCATGGACGAGCTTTGGAGAAGGTCCTGGAATCTCAGCTGGGAGGTGCCCGGGGCTCAAGCGTTGAGAAGTACAAGGCTCTAGCTTGTTCCATTATTCACTTGGCAAAGCCTGCTGCTGTGAGCTTCTGCTCCTTAGAGATAAGCCTTGGGAGGCATGAGGGAAGATGTAGCTATTGGCATGGAAGCTCTCTCTTCTCTTCTGTGGAGCTGTCAGCGGCAAGGAAACAGCTGAGTGTTGGCCCTGCTCCCATCACGGGCTGCAAAGGAAGGCAGCTGCTGTGCGAAAAAGGGGCCTGGAACAAGCTTCTTCCTCTTCAAGTAAGGGACAGGCCTCAATCAGCTGGGCCTCCTCCATGCATTGGTAAGAAATGCAGCTACATCGCAAAGTGCTGTCCCAGCTGGCTCATCATTAGGGGAAGCAAAGAGCTGGTGGGGCTGTAGCATGAGCCCCAGCTATGTGTGCCTGCTTCTTGGCAAGGTAGGTTGTGTTTATTGAGCTGGGTTGAAGGGCTTTTTGCTACAGTGGGAACTCAGACATGGCCTTATTGGCAAATTTTCACCCATAAAGCCTAGGGTGAAATGTTTTAGTTTTTGTTTGAATGGTGATTGCTGTTTTTACAAGCTCAGTTGCGATGAATCCATGTCTTCCAATAAAATCCTCTGCTATAAAACTGAGCTGCTCCGTCGGAGAGCCATCCTGACTCCTCCTTTGCCAGGGTAGCCCCTGAGGGCAGTGCTAACCTAATAGAGGGTGCCTGGCTCTTAGAGCAGCCTCAGCACCTGTCCTGCATCAAGGATGCTCAGTTAGCAGCTTTCAGCAGCTCCTGCCAGTGTTTGATGCATCCCAGATGCTGGAGATGTGATTAAGTGGCTCGAGAGCAGCAGGCTGCTTAGGTCACTGGCTCGCACCCTCATTGTAAATGATCTTTTCACTGGTGAGCTGGTGTCCTGTCTCTCCAGCTGATACATCTCAGCTGTTTTGGGAAGAAGTTCCCTTTTATCCTTTTTTTTTCTCTTCTCTACATTTCATTTTCTATCAAGCAGAAATCCATCGAAGTTTCAAGGACTGAACGAAAAGGCAGGAGACTTGTTTTATTAGTGTTTTGTGGCAAAAGGGCATGCATCTCTCCTGAGATTGGGTGGCTGCAGTCAGCGAAGGGGGGACAAATCAGGCCATTTTTTATCGAGTGGCCTGGCTCTCTGGAGGCTAAATAACCATAAAATCATTGCTAGGACACCGGCGAAGTAGCAGTTTAGCCACAGGAGTGTGCTGCTCTGAGCAGACAGCCGAAACGATTGGCGAAGGGTTCAGCCTAGCTGGGAGTGTTTTGTGCTGCTCTGTGGATGTTGTCACGGCCCAGGAGATTTGAAACTTTGCAGAGGAGTTCCCCAAGGCACCGCTGAGCCTGGGTTTTGAAGCGTACTGTATTATCAAGCGAGTTATATAAGCAGGCACGGTTCATTGCTGGGTTACAGCCTCTATAAGCTCAACAATAGGGAATTTTAAAGACGGTAGCTAAAGCATTGCCAGGCCTCTCCCTCTCTGGGGTTATTTATTCCCTTTGATATTCCCATGTTGACTGCAGTACTCATGATTTAGCCACCTGTGAGCAAACATTCCCCAGCACTGCAGTATCTAATGTTACAAGCCCGATAGAGAGAACTAATTAAGTAAATATCCTGCTAACTGGCTGATTCCCTCTGTCAACCAGTTCATAACGTTATCAGACTGTTCAAGACCAGCCAGTGCAATGAGTTACAGAGAAATGGAGCTACCTCACAGGTATGCGTTTAACAAACACCACCGTGGTGGTTCCTCAGCTAGAGAAGAAATGGTTGAAATTGTGTTAGATGTTACAGCAGGGATGGAGGCTGGAACCCGTGTGCAGGCTGGGTGGTGTGGAAGGTGTTTCTCGTTGACACAGAACTGTTTCCCTTCTTTCTGGTACCATATTGGCTACCTAAATTGAACTTGCAAGTAAAATTTGTCCAGGCTTTAAGTTTCCCCCATCCTAGGCAGCTGAGGGACTTCTCACCTTGTCACCTGCAGGAAAAAAAAAAATCACAAGGGGTTTTTCTTGCCTTGGGATCAGGATGTTTGAAGGAAGGCTGGAGGATTGTGCTTGGATTAGCAATAGAACCTGTAGCCAAGAAGCCTTGCATGTTGAGCTCTGTGTTTTTTAAGTTATTCTCACTGAAGTGGAAGTATGATTTTTCCTTTTGGTGAAAAAAGAAATACTTTTTTTTTTCTCTATTTAGCAAAAAGTGAGGGATATGGAGGGTTAAACTGAGGCACTGTTCACACAAGCTGAACTGAAAAGTGAGCAGATTTGTGCTTTATGCTTTTTGCCAGAACACTGAGCCAGGAAGAAGAGACAGGGTTTGCTTACAGGGGACTCGAAGCTACATCTCAAATGATAGCACCCTTGATGCTATCTATGATCATGAGATTCAGAGACAGGCTTTGAGTGTGACTGTTCCCCAGTAACTCACACAGAGCAACAAACAGGAGGTGAGATGGGCTGAAAGATGCCCGGATCTTTTTTTTTTTTTTTTTTTAAACTACAAAACC